AATGTTCAATCGCAAGTCATAGTTTGACTGTTGCATTTGAAATACATCTTTTGAGTGCAATAATTGTAATGTTTAACATGTTTAACTGTACTAATTCCTAAAAAAAAACTGAACGATTACCTTGACTCGATTGAGTGTTTTTCCAATTGAATATTGCTTTAGCAGTTTGTAGAGTACGACTGCATTAAGTGGTACACCGATACACAATACCACGGCAAGAACTGCAATTTCCAAGTAATCGGTCGCGATTAATGTAGGAGCTTTCAGATCGCCATCATCGGTACGTTGGAATGCTTCATCTTCGTTGGACATCGTACCCTCGTGATATTCTTATTGCTTGATGGTTATCAGTTTGTGTTCCTGAATCATCCCTCATATTCAGCAGAGTTCACGGAACGCAGTTGTCAAAAATTGTGCGTGCAATATAAACATCATGTACGATACAATATATGCTCTGCGCATACTAAACATGAAAAGTACATACACAGAAAAATGATAATTCGATTCGAGGCACGTCATCTAATACTTTTTCGAAATCATGATTGTTTTTGTTGCAGCTGTGTGGCACATATTTAGTTGCAGTAACCAGCTCATTGTTAAGATGGCTGGACACGAATGTAAATGAATTAAGAAAACCGATGCGAACAAAGCACGGAATCATGCTTGGAATGATAATCTGATACATACGCGAAGAGAACTGATCAGTGCACAGCATTTGATTATTGTTGTAACTGGCTCTCTCTGGGAGGGACTATCGAACTATGTATATATGTAGGCATGCTTCCAAGCAATTCTTCAGCCCATAGGGTTTTACATTCAATCAGATCGTTTGATCTATATCCGATTTCGTTGCAGATATCATCACTTATCGCATCACTGTACTCTGCGATGACACTCGTGGGGACACTGAATACACCAAGTGCACGATTTTCAGTGTNGAGAAGGATTTTCTAGGATGAAGAACATTCAGATGAGATGTAAAGCAAACAAACATTTAAATTCATAAGATTTTCACACGACCCATTCGAAATGCGTTCGTAAGTGTAACCATATTCGAATCACAGCATTCAGCGAAATAATCACGACTTGTGTGTGGGTTTGTTAAAATTAACGAGAAGAGTGTTTTTTGAATGAATCCTAATAATGGCGTTCCGTTATGAGTGGTAATCGACTTCAAAGAAATTCGAACGAAAAACCGACTCACGAATGGAAAATGCACCGAAATTGTATCAATTCGTGGTATATGGTGAATTTTAATCATGTGAAGACACTAATGTGAAAGAATTATTTCCTCTGTAATCCCTATAATCTGAAACTTCATTTGACGGTTGTATTGAAGACCAGGGGTCCCCACTGAGAAGAGAGGGGGGGGGAGGGGAGGGGAATCACCCACTTCTGGGTAATCTAGGGGCGTCAGAGTAAAGGAGGGGGCCGGGAAATTAGTTGTGACGTTATGCATGGAAATAGTAAATTATTGTAGTGGAAGTGAGAGTAACAACGACTTGCCAGATCATCGAATGGGGTGATGGAGCAACCGAGCGTGGGGACCACTGCAGTAGATTGATCCGGTGATTTCAACGGTGACATTTATTCAATAATACAATGAATATTTATCAATATGAGAAAAGCAAAAATTATTTGCATTTCTACAAATTTAAACGAATTTGAGAAATACAAATAGATACATTCATATTCGTTCATAATTGACACAAGTGTCAAATTCGTGTGATTATCAATAGAAATATATTCACATTCGTTAATACAAGTGTAATTCTAATTTTTTGAAGACAACATCACTGACTCGGGGAAAGTGGTATAAGTCTGATCATTGCTACATCCTTATTGAGCATAATTGGAGGCACTCTTCGACTGGCATATTGGCCTTGGCTCTGCTCCTACCACAATATCACGTCAAAACACTGAATGTTGATGTATTTAGACGTCTGTCGTCATCTCTGAACGTTACAAGAAGGCATAAAAAAGGCACCACGCAATAACCAACATTTTTAGTTGTGAATCACACGCATGAAAAAGGCATGCAGAATTGCTCACTGACTTCTCCTATGCGATCCCAATGAACACCGTCCATCGCTGACAAAGCGCAGTGAAGCTGAATGTTCGTCATCATGTGTCAAATCAAGCGGAAACTATTCTTGAGCGTTATTCGTCACC